GCCGCCACCTCCTCCTCCTCCCTCTTCCCTTCCCCCGCCCTCGCCCGGCCCTCGCCCAGGGCCCCGCCCCCTCCCGCCGCGGCGCCCGGCGCGCTGCCGTCACAGGCCGGGCGCTGGGGAACGGGCCCGGCTCTCGACTCTGGCGCAGGGGATTGGCCCCCGGCGGGCAGGGGGTGGAGTCTCGCCGAGAGTGAGCACCACCGATTGGTTGGTCGGAGTGGAGGAGGCGGGCACCAGGATGACTGAAGTTTAGAGAGGGTGGAAAAAAGAAGTTTGAAGTGTGAGGGAGGGCGAGGGGTGGGTCAGGGGAGTGGAACCGGCTCCGGCTCGCAGGGCCGAGAGAGGCCCTCGGGCAGTTGCTGGAGCCAAGAGAAAACTCGGATAGGGAAGAGTGACCAAACTCCCCGAGGTGGAGGCGTGGCTGGCGAGCTGGATGGAGTCAGGGGCGGAGTCTGTGTGGACACCGAGAGGAATGAGTGTACTCTAGACCTGAGACGACTGGCTCAGCCCCTGGCCGGAGGTGGCGGGTCCTCCAGGGTGGCTTGTTACTGCCGATCATATACACTGAGTATCTATTCTTGTTCATTCACTCAACAAATGTTACTGAGGCAAGGACTCCAGAGTCCATTTGATGGAGGGTAAAAGAGTCCTGCATAATGCTGTGTGACCTCGGGCAAATTAGACCACCTCTCTGAGCCACGACATCCTTTGGTGAAAAGTGGAGCTAATTCTACCCCTCCAAGTTGTTGGGGGAAATTACACGCAGTACGTTTAAAATATCTTCATAGTGCCTGGCAGAAGGTGCATGCTTCTTGCCATTTGGTAGCTGATGATGATGACTTTATGTCAGACATTGTGCTGGGCACCAGGGTTCAAGGGTGAAAAAACAGAGGCTCTGCTCTCAAGGAAGTCACGATCTAACGCGAGAGACTGACAAGTAAGACTGCCTGAGGCGAGGTAGGGTGGGGTGATGATAGAAGGTGGATTAGGAACTAGCTGGCACACCTGGATTGGAGTCCTGGCATCCTACTTACTTGCTATTTGACCTTGGCCATATCTCAGCATCCAGTTTACACATCTGTAAAAGAGGTGGAGGGAGAACTAATATTAAATAAAGGACATCTTAGGTCCCTTCCAGCACTAATTTTTCAGAAATTCTCCTTGAGCTTTCTCTCTTCCCTGTCTTAAAAATCCTATCCATCCTCAGCCCAAATGCCATCTCTCTCAAGTAGCCTTTTCTGATTTCTTGTCCTCAGGTGGAAATCATTTTCTCTGAACACGATACTTTCACTTTTACACAGGCCAGTCTCCTATCTTTAATGATTGGGGAAAGCCCTTATTTAAGTTATAAATAACCCCACAAAGTCTCCTCACATCTCAGATAGTCTGGGCCAAGCTTCAACAGCTGCAGTGATTTTGTTTACACCATTGTATCAGTCAGGGCCTAGCAGGAAACAAATAGTACTTTACAAAGATGTGGGCAGGGTGTGGGAAACCACAAGGGAAGTGTGGAATCCTAGGGCTACAGGCTCAAAGATCTGTAGAAGCAAGAGGAAGGAAATGTTATGGAAACTCAGCACAGAAAGGGCAGCCTGACAGGCACCTGTGACCTTTCATCAGGAGATGTAATTGCCTGAGGAGGAAGCTGGGAGATTTATATCTCACTTACCTGCTCCTTCAGTCTCTCGCTGGGGCATTCTGATGGCCAAATCCAACCAGAAGCCAGAGGGCAAGAGAGCCTTTTGATGCCATTCCTATTAGGCACAAACAGAAGAGGAAATGTGCATCTGGAGAGGAAAGAGAAAAAGGGAAATATTCAGCACAGTTATCATGAAGATTGCTCAGATTTACCCAGATCTGAGACAAACAATCTGGAGGATTGTTTTGGGGTTTCCCGCCCCCCCACCTGGACTACTACCTGAAATCTTGGTAACCTCCACATCATCTATTTTTGCAGAAACTGAGAAAGCATCTTTCCCTGCCCAGATTGTGTCCATTAGGCTACCTTTGGCCAAAAGGAACAGAAAACCTGACTTATAGTATCTTAAAGCATGAAGTCATTTATTTCATTTTTAACATGTAGTTCAGATGTAAGTAGTCTCAGAGGTGGTTCAATAGCACAAACAGTCATGTCATTAAGGCCCCAGGCTTTTTTTGTTTGCTCTCTACCATCATGTTGGCTTTAGTCTCTAGGCTTGTCACCTCTTGATTGCTATGTGGCTGCAATAGCTCCAGATATCACATCCTCAGAGGTCATTGTACAAGCAGGAAGGGAGGAAAAGACAGTACTCTTTTCATTATGAAAGAGAAAAATCTTTCCTAGACTGCCCTCTCCCAGTAGAATCTCCTTTATTGGCCAGAAAATGGTCATGTGCCCACAGCAGAGCAGTTGCTAACAAGAAACTGATTGCCACAGTTCATTAAATTGATCACGAGTCTCCCTCAAACAAAATAGGAGTTCCCTTTGAGAGGAGAAAGGGGGAATAGTGGTTAACTGGGCATCTAATAGTGTTTGTCATATTCCTCAACCAAGAATTATATTGACTCTGAGGCAGAAAACTTAAGTGATTAGGAGCTTGAGCTCTGGAATCAGACTGCAAATCCCAATTTTTCTACTTAGTAGCCCTGCAATCTTGAGTAAATGATTTAATCTTACCTAACCGCAGTTTCCTCACCCATGAAATGATAACAGTGCTCACCTAAGTTATTGTGAGAACTGAATGGAGCTACTTGAGGCAAGCGAGTACTTAACATATGGTCTGGCATATAAGTAAACGCTCAACTTATTTTAGTTTATGCTAAATAGTAATATTTGTGACAAGGTTGAAAGCATTGCTAATCACCTTTACAATTCTGTATTAAATTACTCCATCTTAAGCTTAAATTCAGGTTTTAAAATATTCTAGAAATAAGCTAGCTGTCCGTGCCAGTGAATTAATTCTGATAGGACAGTATTCTGGAAACGATTACATAATTAAAGGAACCACATTATAAGATTCTATCTATGAAATGGCACCTAACCAAATAATCAGATTGTATCCATGCTTATCACTGCTTCCCAAACCTAATGGTTGGCTTAATAGTTTTCATTTCCATTGGAAAATAGGGCGAACAACATGCAACCTGGTTTAACAAAAATGAGGAAGTTTTATTGATGATATCCAAGGTTTCTTTGGGTTCCCTCTAATCTGTAGAGACAGACACAGATGTTTCAATACGCGTATGCACATGAGTTAAGTCCCAAGATGGCTACAGTGGCTCCAAGTAACGTATGTATCACAGTAATGTACAAGGACTGAAAGGGAAGAGAATGTCTCCTTTCTTCCCTTCTTATAGATCAAGGAAACCTTTCCACAAAGCATCTCCCTTCACTGCACCTCCCCGCCCCCACCCCACACAAGACTTCTCCTCCAGCTCATTGGCCAGAATTACCCACATGTCCTTTCCTAAAACAAAGATGCAAAGGGTAATGAAAAACTCATCCAGTTTCACCCTCTGAGCAGAAGGGGATCCAGCATCTCATAAACGACATGGCTATACAATAGCTGAATAAAACGAGGGAGGGTGTTTGAGGTCTCTCAGCAAATATGAAGAGGGGAGACTGGCTTTTAAGTAAGGGATCCACAGTGTCCTCCACAAATACACTGCACTGATTTGCTTCCTTTTTTTTTTTTTTTGCAAGATGGGGAGTTTGTTTTATTTCATATTGTGGCGAGTGTTCCTGATGAGAGTGAAATTAATGTTTTAAGCAGAAAACTCCAGAATGGCAAGTATAGGCTTCTGATTTTTCTGGAATGACTCATGGGTACTTACTCCTTTGTACAACTAGAGATGCCTTATATGGTGGTGCGGTTTGTACACCTGACAAACGCCAGGGCCAACACTCACCTGGGAGTCTGTATGAGTAGGGTCCCTGTGGTAGTACATGGCTCTGTGTCAGAGCAAGACACGTGCAGGGAGAAAGGTTGGATTTCACTTATGTTTGTGTTCTTACTAGTTTCTTTCATGAAAACCGGAATCTCCGTTAACAGTAAATCAAATTATTTTGATGAAGTCATTCTCAAGTATTAAGGCGGCAGAGGGTGGGGGAGAAGTCAAGTGGGCAAATATTTGCCTCCCATACAGAATATAGAACATTTATCCCATTTCTTTTATTCCCATAGATTATAAAATCCTCTCAAATTAAGAATTCTGGTCCACAAAATCTTTCACTGGCTTATAAAATGTTTGGATTTACCTACACTGTGGTAATGATATGTCATGTAGTCTAACATTACTAGCCTAAATGAATTTAGTATTAATGTTCTATTGTATCCTTACGTTTATTAGCATTTTTATTTGCCTGGGTCTATGGGCTAATTTGTATGCTAATGTTAAAATAGGCTCAATTGCAGAAGCAATAACATGGAAAATTTTAGTTCAGTTAAACTAATTTATCGTCTAAAATCTGTATTACCATGTTTCATGCATAAACGTGCATTTTTGCCCATGAGTGCACTTACCTACAAATGACCAAATGAATCCAGCCCAAATTCACAGAATAATAGGAAC